AAATCTCATCCACCACCGTCCGAACTTCCAAAAATCAGATTCATCGGATAGGAAGCCGTGTGTTTTACCACTGTGCCAATTTTTTATTACTCCAACAGGACTTCCGCTAGCTTTTTAATTGCACATCGGTGTGTGATTGACAGCAGATGGGGTGGAGCCCCATAGTCACGAAAACCTGTTCAGTGATAGTAACCGGTAACCTTAGCCCCGGGAATTGGAGTGGTAAACCGCATTAGGACCCGCTAGGTTAGACTTGGTATTGAACCGGTCGACAGTAAGGTTGCCCACCACCAGTGTTGGGTGACGGAGGCGGACCACAGAGACTGAAACATGTCGGTGGCAGCGACTAAACCACCGTTGTCAATGTGTCTAGCACTTAGTTCGCTAGAAAGTTTTCTNTCAGATTTCACTGAGCAACACTTTAGCCCTATGCTAACAATGCCACGAATCAGGGTCTTCTTGAGTAGCATCGCTATCGAAGGAAAAATGTAACTTATAACATCAGGTCCCAGTGCGGATAACAGTTTTCTTTTCGATACTACTGACTCAGCAATTCAAATATTTCTTCGCCAACTATAATTCGACGATTAAAGTGATAGCACCAAAAGGTTAAATTTATTTTTCTTTTCGGGTGAATGATTTCATTGTATACACAAACGTGAAACTATTACAAAGAATGCCGGTTTCCATCTTCATCACAGTGTCATGATTTCGTTTACTCATTTGACTGATGTTTGGTGAGTTGTTTACAGGTTTAATCTCGATTTATGCATTCCGGTGGATTGTTTTCTTTCAAATCTGACTGAATTAAGAATTGTTTTTGTGTGACCTTCAATCTGATTCGTTCCCGTTCGATCCGTTTGCATGTGTATGTGTTCGCCCCCCCCCACACACCCTTCCCGATTACGTAACAGCTTCACCGTTCTGTCCACACAAGGTGGCTACGCGTTCACAGTGAAATCCATCGATTATTGGGCTACAGTCACCACCAGATATCTTCGTACAATTTGGATTGCATCATCACTGTTGAACGGAAGTTGAATTAGAATGTTTGCTATAAACCTCGTTGGGTAACCATTGAACTTCAGAGTTCCCGTGAACCGAACTAGTTCACTTTCCACATTATTCAAAGTACACAGCCTTCCAGTTTATTGTAACAGAGTATACACGAGACCTCGCTTTTATTGGATTGAAGGAAAATTGCCAAAATGCAAATATTGGTCGTTTCACGTGAATTCTCAAAGAACGAATACTTGCATGGGTCGAAAGCGAACACGATTAAACTGAGCACTATTCAAACAACCGGTCCAGTCAAATCGGTGGCCATCTATTGCAGACTGGCCACGCAGTCAATTACGGGACTCCTTTTCGAGTTTTGTACACGACCGCAAATGAACGGCTGTTCAAATTTGCCGATTCCATAGTAATCAAGCGCTGAAAGCCCCTGTTGCATCAACAGAAGCAGGTCTTTAGCGGTCTGATCTCGTTCTGGTAACCACATAAACGGAAGAGTGAATTGATATCATGTTCGATTATCAACACGCGTGATATATCAACTTTTTTCCATTCTGTAGTGAGCACCAGCTGACATACAGCAAAATTATTCCGGAATCAAATCACGCTCATCTGCAGTGTTGTGTTCTTTGTTCAAGTTTAGTTTGAGTTAAGCAATACCATTTTGATTTGGCTTCTCGTTCCCGTTAGCTCATCTTTGTTTCCCTTGTCTTTTCTCGTTCGCTTTCATTCAGCGGCACCTACGAGAACGCTTTGAATTCGCTCGCGAAGAAAACTGCCGTCCGGTTAAGAACAACACCTGAGTTCTTATCTGATTTAGTTAAAATCAGCTGAGTTAGTTCTCCGAAGGTGTGCCTATTTGTGTAAATCTCCCGTTTCATAACAGTCCACGTACCCGTCCGAATATGAACTCAAGTGGTGAGAACTATCTATGATGCACAATCGATCAACGATCACGAACATAACGTTCTCGGGTGGAATGGGTGTGTGTGTGGGGGGGGGGTAGAACGGTCCACCCCACCCCGAAACATTCATTCTCACTCGGTAACTCACTCAAAAAGTACTTTTGTTTGTTTACGGAGAAGTTAGTGCATTTGGACTGGACGGGGTTTAGACAGATCCGGTGACATTTGACGGCCGAAACACCAACACTCTTGAGGGGGTTCCAATGAAATACGATTGGTTGGATTCACTTGAAGTTGAAAAGGTATAGAAGCGACCGAATAACACATCCGAGATCGTCGGTTCGAAGGCGTGCGCACATTACTTGTTGACATTTTCCTCAAGTGTGAACACATTCCGGGTTTTTCGATAGAAATCAACAACCGTCTTGTGTGCGTATTGCCAGACGTGTTTCTGTCAGGCCACCAGAATCGGTCTATGAAGCGTTATTTCCGTGAAAAGAAGACATGAACGGTGATGGCCCGGTGTGGTAACGTCACTAAATCACCACCACGTATCTCACCACCATCTAAATTTCCCTATTGTGTGTTGTATGGCAGTCCAGTTTGAATGGCCGCTGCATCTGTCCTGTAAATTGTATCATCCAAAGTATTTGAGAAAAGGAAGTAGTATTGGCAAAGAGAAAACCCGAACAAATCTTAAATTAGTTCACTTCAGTTTCGTTTTTACCACCATAAACCATGCACTTTCATGCGCCAGTTGTGGTTGCTGTCTTTCGGTGCC